GCTGTACTGGCCACGGTAACGGTACAGCTAGGCTGCAGCACCAAACCACTGGGCGAGCCCAGTTCAGTGCTTCGCGTGCACATCCACCCAACAACACCATTGATAGCAACCAATTCCAAAATTATTTAGCCACATCAACAACAATCGTAATCTACCATACAATTACCATGGCAGATTACAGTTATCATGAAATAGATAGACGAGATATCTGACTACTGCGCTACTCGAGCAAACTCTGGCCCAGTACCGGCCCCATACTGTACCAGTGGCAGTAATATATAGTTAGTGGCAGTGGTACCGCATGAACGCGAGGTGTATAATGAAACTAAGTTTCTTATACAATATAATATGTTAAATATTAATATGTTAGGCCTAATAGTACGTAAAGGCTAGTTTTCATTTTATATATATATTCCTATACACAACACGAAGCGCCAATCATAACCACCATGAGTTGCGGACCATTTCTGAACAAAAATCTCACTTTTAATAATCTGGCTAGTCCTATATTAGCTTAATTTGCCTGCTACTTGTTTTTAAGAAACTTATTTGTCGGCACCCAAAGAGCAACACTGCCAGCACAGTTATGCCATGTTTTAGCATTTGAAGGTATTGAGTCACCATGCGCACCCGGTAATGTTTTCTCAGATATCAACCCAGGCAACACGCAACAAACGAGTCACTAGGTCATAACTATCAACTATGCTGTCATCCACGCACGGCACAGCGCGCAACCACAAACCCAACGTTTTGAACGTATACTTCAACTTAACGCATTTTTGTAAGAATACTACAAGTTTGATCTGCAATTCACTAACACAACACCCAATCAGACGAACTAGGGGTTTTTAGGTGATCCAGTACCACTTCAACACACATCACACACACGATAACAGCATATTTCACATGACATAACGAACACACGCAATAAACCTACCACGCTCAAAGCACGCATCACGAACGACATGCACATTCGCGAGAGGACTAGGTTGGTAGGCGGCGCGGCCATGACACCACATAGGAGTAAAGCTCACTGAAGCCTTAACAAAGAGAGGGTAAATCAGAATTGTGATACTAAAATGTTAATTCTTCACTCGCGATCCATGGAAACAAAGCAATACTTAGTTAGGCCTAATATAATATGAATAATTTGTGAAAACTGGGAACAACAAACACCACCTAAATTGTTACCTGTTCCGTACGCCAACCCATGCTTGCACCATTCATCCCCTAACAAAAGCTGAGACCTTACAATATTTTCCCGTTTTCAACAATTAATCATATGGTAGTAATAATGTATCTGCACACACCTCTACATTCATCTCTGTTTCAGCATCCATGTAAACTACGAACGAACACGGTATGTTAAGGCGTTTCTTTAAAATATTAAGGCTTAGGACTTAGTTTAGAACTTAGTATGCTAGTAAAGTTTTAGTTCAAATAGTTGAGCAAGCGCATAGCCTGGGCTAAGGCATAGCTACTAAGCTAGGCTGTCCTATCTCAGCGCGACTCGGTAGACAGTACAACACAGCCTACAAGCTGTTGCCTGTGTCTATAGTATGACTAGTATACGACACAGGAATCCCCACACAACAGCTTTCTAGCTGTTAGAATAGACAGACATATTGAGGAAAGGCATTAAAGTTTCTTAAGTTGGTCCCAACAAGCGACGCCTTGATGTAAACTAACTGCATAGAAATAAATTGTAAATACGCTTCCAGTGTGCATCACTCCAGCACTGCACCACAGTGACGTATAGGATCGAGTCCATACGTTATCGTATCTATATGTAGGCCCCAAATCACTCACGTGACAATAACGAAACAGAAGTGCTTAACTGTTTTAGCACATTTGTTGTCGTTATTGGGTGAAAGGACTATACACGTCTAAGCATAGTATTGATTTCTAAATATATGCTACTGGAGAGATTGCGTGGGCAGCAGCAGCTAGGCTGGGACCTTTCTTTGATGCTGAATTACCACGGCGGATTTATCTCGGCCAACAGACAGACTTCTTTATTTCTGACATTAATTATTATTTTTCTATATTTCAGGTTATTACTTCATCTGTGCTAGGTTAGTTTGAATGATGTTGTACTGGACAAAACATCGTAAAATTCAATTAAATATTGCCGAAGATCACCTGCCACACATGCAAAAGAACTCTGAGTTGGAAGCAAGGGACAGTGCACTAGTTATGGAAGCAGATAGCTCTAGTGAACTTGTTGAAACAGAAACATACAGGGTGCGTACCCACTAAGCCATGCAGTCATCAATCACTTTCTGTTGTTCATCTTAAATCTTTATTTACAGTTCAGCATCGTTTGTATTTTCGTGTTGTTGTTATGCACATTATCTCTAAAGGAATTTTGCATAAAATTATTGCTTCAAAACGTATAAGTGATAACAGTAACTTATACAGGGTTTACTGTCATTTTGAAGGGCCGTTCACTCATCCCATAGACTCATATACTATGACAGCACCGTTTACTTCACCTAACACGTATTTTTCAGGAATCTATCATTTGTGCTGAGCTGGGTATTGCTGTATTATAATATTATATTGGTTTTACATGCCATTTAGTGTCGAAATGAGACTACACTAGAAATTATGCTTTCCATTAATTTGGCATAGAATTAAACCAGGGATTATGTAGGTCTGCTCTTTTTCAACGTGATCATTATTTGGTTATTTATTTGTTGTAGACAGCTATGATGATAGTAGCAAGAAGCTAAGGAGAGCAGAGGACAGACACCTCTGATGCCCAGACAGATGAAGCGGACGGTGAAAAAAGTAGAAAGTAAGCCATATCATACACATTTTGATTACCACATAATTTGTGTAGACCAAAAATCGTTGTATCAAGTATTCATATATATATATATATATATATATATATATATATATATATACAGGGTGTTGAATTTTAACGGGAGGTCCGGAGTCAAATACTTCCCTGAAATTTTTACTGTCGCGACTTTGATTTGACATATGCAGGAGTCCGTGTGAACTCCCTGAAATTCTGCCATACTAATAGCTACTCGTTCGCACGAGCATGGCCTATGGAAACACCGTATTTTTTACCCGCAAATGTCAATAAAATTTTGGCAGACGTGTAACCGGCATGAATCTTCAAAATAAGCAACGTGGTTATTGTTAATATCTTTAATTTTGAACTTCAGACTGCGGACTCCTCTCATTTTGCCTACGGACTCCCTCTTTTAGAGGTCCGGGTGTTCCATTGGATCCCCGGTGCTTCAAGAGTTAATCATTCGCACCCCTGGATACTATATTGATACTATATACATATATACTAATATATCAGCTACAATAATTTATTAGGCCTTTTTATAAGGATGAAAACTAATCGTGTTGGCTTGAACAGATTGTTACGTTTTGTTGCAGACGTAAACGTAAAACATCACAATGGATGGGAGACATTGCAGAGTAATTGTATGATCGGGTTCTTCTTTTGGTAGTTTCTATACATCGAACGTAAGACAGAATAGCATAATGCATTGTGTATGAAGTCTTAGGCAAAGGCTATTTATTTATTTACCGGATTAGCCTGATTGTTTACATACATGTTGCACGTTTTAAGAAGTCCCATCTTTCCTGTTTTTCAGGGGATCAAGGAATGTCACTTTCAAGGCCAAAGATAAATAGGAGGTTAAGAAGAGCACCAAGTCCACCTCCAACCCCAGAAGAGGAATTGTTCATTTTCTGTAACCAGTAATTATGAATAAAAACTTATTGTTAAATTGATATCTGCTTGTTGGTTGTGTATCGTTAATTATAGTACAGCTAAATATAATATTTAGTACACCACTGGGCCCGTACTGGCAAAATAATGGTCCACTTCTGGCCCAGTAAGGCGCTGCTGTACAAGCCCAGCATTGGGCCAGTACCGCATGGCAGTACCGGCACAATACTGGGCCGGTACTGCGCCTTAAGCCTGGGACATACCATGCGAATTTCGCTGCGCTCAGATCCGCAGCGAAATTCGCGACGAAAATATTCGCACCCGCATGTGATAATTAAGCGTACACACAACACGCGATCTACTGTCGCCACACGGCTCCAACCATGGCTCCAACAGTCATGTGATCTCTGGTGAAAGGTCCATCTTTCAATCACGTGATTAGCATACTGATCAATGATTTGCTGCATTATATAACATCAGCCGGCTTGATTTTCGCTTCCACGGACACACGACGCCAATCTGTACGCAGCGGTAAAAATCCACGGCGAAAATATCAAACGTTTTATCACTGCGAATATCGGTGTGGATGAAATTCGTGGCGAAATTCGCCCTCGCTTAAGCGCACACACCATGCGAATTCCGCGGCGGTTTTAAAAACCGCTGCGATCGTGCGAGTAAATTTGCCTGGTGTGTACCCTGTTTTACTGGGCCAGTACCAGCACCCAATGCAACGTCGATGAGCACGCCAGTACCGGGCCGGTACTGGCATTCGGTAATGGGCCAGTACTGCAATGTTTGCTGGGACATTGGTTATATTATGATAAAACACTTGCCATGCAGTATCACCTTCTTAAATACCCTTTATCACATTTTTGTTGTATAAGAAAACCATCATCGATAACAAGCATGATAACGACAAACAACTTTTCAGAAAATTAGAAACTATTGTTTCCTATGAGCCATTGCACACACACGCGACACGACCGGCAACAACCTCGACGACAAAAATATTTAGGAACGTTTCTAATCTCCAGCGACAGTCGCGAGCGACACTTTACAAATAGCCAATCGCAGCCGTTTCCATCGGCACGTGACATTACGATTACGTCATAAATAACCCATAATGCTAGCCAAGACGTAGACTGGTCTCCGGCGCTAAACTCGCGCCGCATGTCACCATCAATGGAGCCGCGAACCAGTCTAACCAAAGCGTGCAAGCTGTGGCAAGCTACGGTCACTGTATGACACAGTACGTACAGTACATGATAATTTGCTGCGTATATTTTACTTTATTATATTATCAGGAGTTAATGAGACAAAGGAGTTTGACACGGATTTGGTACTGATTTCACTACATTTTTGTCATACGAGTTCGATGTGAATAAAAATACAAATGTATACAAACATGAGCTTCTTTTGTTCACTGGTCCTTATTCTATCTTCCGGTAGTATTACAAACCGAGTAGCTTCCTTCGTTTTGACATAAATCGTACTTTTGCACGACATGGTTTTCACGTTATTTACCGTCGTGTGGCGAGGCCAAGCCGTAAATTCGCATACACAGCAACTGCAAGGAGGCGCGGCAGGGCTTTTAGGCCGTAGTCTAGCCGAGTGCAGAAAATGCGCTTAGAAATTAAGTTACGTTGCACCCATGCTTGGTTTAAAAATTAAAACTATTTTACATTGAAACTATAGTTAGAATGCCTTGTTTTTATGGTTGAATCCCGCAGTTTTTCTAAATAAACGCTGCGCTGGTAAAATATCTGAACTACTTCACCCACGGAGGAATGATGTGTATGTAACGACGTTTTGTGCGTTACTATACAGTTGTTGATTGTGATGTCGTATTCATTGCCAAAAGACATAGAGAGAGACAAGTCAAAGAATATATACCATGACTAGTTGTTTAATTCAGATTCAACACTGCACTGTTACAAGGTACAAGCGGTCGCGTCTGGCATCGAAGGAGCATTCCTCGATTTCTGCTCATGCAGCAGTTTATATAGGCGTCGCCACGCGCGCGGTGCATGCTCAGCCACGTGCCGCGTGCGCCAATCACCGCGTCCGTCTCATCCGCGTTCAGTTGGCTTCCGCTTGGCTTCACCACCTTTGCTCTGGATGGTGGCGGCACCTAACGGGAAAGACCCGCTATTCTGTGCCACCACCCTCCAGGAGGTGGCGCCGTCTATTCGCAGGAACGTGTCACGTGCGCTGAACATGGCCGCTGCTTTCGGCGTTGATAGAATTCACGCCTGATTAGCGGCAACTAAGCCTCTTGAACTAGATTGCATGCATGACTGATTAGCTAGTGTCCGTCTGCATTATCGTCATAACATGGACACTGCCTTAGCCCTATGTTAACATTAACGTTTTGCAGTCACCGCACGATCACGCCAGCTAATTAGGATCCCCTCGATTAATCCTTACCAGCCAGCACCCTATTATTGCAACACTCGGCAGCCATCTTAACTGCGGCAGCCATCTTAACTGCGGCAGCCATAACTGCGGCCACGTGCGGCTGTATTGATTGCCTCTGGTTGCCAGGGGCAACGCTGTTCAATCAATACCTCCGCTTCCCATCGCCAGGCGATCGCATCGCGTCGGGGATGGGGGAAGCCTTGTAACAGGGTCGTTACATGTATGAATCTTATAGGGAGTGAATTGACGCTCCGGCTGATTGTAGCTTTTCGCACGTGTTTTGCATAGCAACCGTTACTATGCAATTGCAGGCAAACGCATGTGTTTACACCTTACTTATCATAACCATCTGTATGTGATAAAGGCGAGAGTTAACGTTGTCATCACTTGGCTTTGTTAGCCGAACAAAAACATCTTTGGGAAATAACGTACGGAAGACGCGATCCCTGTCACGCCTCCTTGCAGTTGCTGTGTATGCGAATTTACGGCTTGGCCTCGCCACACAACGGTAAATAACGTGAAAACCATGTCGTGCAAAAGTACAATTTATGTCAAAACGAAGGAAGCTACGCGGTTTGTAATACTACCGGAAGATAGAATAAGGACCAGTGAACAAAAGAAGCTCATGTTTGTATACATTTGTATTTTTATTCACATCGAACTCGTATGACAAAAATGTAGTGAAATCCGTACCAAATCCGTGTCAAACTCCTTTGTCTCATTAACTCCTGATATTATCCTTATACGTAGAGAGTTTTTGCAGCGTGTTATTTAAAAGCAGCAGCATGAGTTTTTGCCGTTTGTTCATGTGGTGATGTGTACCACTGTGGCGAGTGCTGGGTGAACTTTGACCTAATGTCGGTCGCTGTCGCTGCAGTGTTTGCGCCAGCCGCCGCGACTTTTGTCATTTGTCGTTACGGTCGGTCGCTGTCGCTGCAGTGTGTCTTGACCTTAACACCATTAATTGAAAACACGACTATTGCAATTGTAACAGAGCAAGATTAGCTTCTTTGTTTCTGTTATTTCGTATTGGAATTCTTGGTTCAAGGATAGAGATCATGTCCAGGACGGTGATAGGATAGGATGATGTTTATTACTGGACTCTATCCTTGAGCCGAATTCTCTGGGTGCCACTTTCCCCCCACAGACACTTGAAGCGTTTCAATAAAATATAATGCTAAATAAATACGAAATCTATTTGCTACCAAATTCTTAATGTTTCTATACTCTCTTTCACCCATTATTGCCGACAGTTTCCTGTAAATTCCGTCCAAATCTATGTACGGGGCGCCTAATGTGCAAACAATTGACGCACTGGCCGGCCGCCATTTCCCCTCACGCCGGGCTGCACTGTGCACACTCTACACATAATATAATAGTAGTGTATATATAATATAAGTATCATCGAAGGAGTGTAGCCTGTTGACACGTCATGCGTGCATTTGTACGCATAGCTCAGAACCTTTTTAATGTACTTTGATTTATGTTTTTTTGTTGTTAATCCTTAGTCAATTGTATTTAACTGGACACTTCCAAACGTTGTTGCTCTACTGGCAGACTCCTTGACTTGGCCATCTTAAAACCAAGTAGTTTGATAGATACTCTAGCGATAAAGAACAACTGACCTGCATAGCGACAGCGCTCATCTAACGTCTACTGCGGTCGAACATCTGTGGTGGCAGCTGTGCGGATTCTACGTAAACGCTGTTAGTCCCAAATGTGCTTCACCCATCACATCCGAAACAGTGGAATCGCACAGGGCATGGTATCAGGGAACCATTCTCAAAAGAATGTTCGTTGGATCCGAGTTATGCAAAACACGTTTGCCAACGACGATGGCCGCGTACGTTTAATGTCTTCAGATAAAGATCACGAAGCGCTCCCCATCACTACGACGCAAGCAACAAACTCACCTCAGCAAAACAGAAGCAGGTAAACCACTCAATCCCATTTCACCTACGGCAACCTACAGGCTGCGCATAGAGCAGCTGCAACCTGTAACATTAAGGCACAAAAATCCACAGTACCAGCAACACTGGCAGTGCAACCGTTTCAGCAGATGTAACATACTGCCACCTACAGACATGCCATACTAGAATTATACGATTCTTAAGCGAGCCATCAAACCTTCTCCTTAACCAACCTTTACACAGGCCTTTTGCCCAAATTTCACTGCGTGACATGTACCTCAACCGATCCAGGCATGCTAATAGTTCTAACTCCCACGCCAAACTCCCGGCAGTCCCACATTATCTTTCTAACACGACAGTCAACACATGGTTAACAATCCACAGCCGTTTAACCTCTCTTGAGGGTCACAAAAGGTTTATCCGACACAACTTGTACTCTTCGCATGTCAGCCAAAGAAGGGACATTTCATGGTCCAATTTCAATAAAGCCAATAAAACATGCTAGGCTCACGCTAAGCTCTGAAACTATAAAAAGATTTTATTCATATCGCGTCCGTCCAGACGCATAGTCCTCAGAAAAGTAAAAATCCTTGCCCTGTGCCACTTGAACCGCTTTGACCTGTGCACCGTCGCAATTTCGGATCCACAGTGAATGGCTTTTCCTACCCACTGATG